CATATGCATATTCATATGAAAGCAAGAAATGTTGCACATGTTTCAATTGAATGTTTCAAGTGTAAATGCATATATATGAATGCTTGATGATCATGCTCATGCTATGCAAGTCAAGTTATGCAAGGCTAACACCTAGGGTGTTACAGTTGTAGCTGTTAAATCTATCGGCAATTGACCGTGACGATGAAACATGCTATATGCGCTAATCTATAATGGAATGAACAAAAATAAATGATATGAAATTGAAAGACGGTAGAAGATCAACGGAGAGATTGTTGGATTGATCTCTAATCCTAAACTGGGCCCAACGACCCAGTTGAGCCTTTGATCTGCGCCCTGATCGAGGGCGCCCAGCCCACTATGGCTGGAGGGCCCCTGTCACACTGCGCAATAAATAGAGGTGGGACCCAGCGGCTCAAGTCACTAGGTTTGCTTGGGCCGAGCTTCCCACCGACAAACCTTAAACCCGATCCAGAGGGCGCGCAGCCAGTGACGGGAAGCCACCAGCCGCGCCGCCACCGGACTGCGTCACCGCGACCACTGTACTGCGCCGCCACCCGTCGCTGCCCTAGCGCAGACACCGACTCCATGGCGGACGTGAGCGGATCCTCCTCCACTGCGGTGTCAGATTTGACACGTCCATCTTCTACCCCCTTTCTCTTGTTCTACCTACTGTTGCTGCGCTAGTAGATGTTCTAGGGCTCGTGATTCTATTCAATAGCAAGTACCCCGCTAGATCTATGCTCCTAGTGATTCTATAAGTTTTAACAGATCCACGGTAAAAAAGACTAGACTACCCGTAATTACACGTAATCACATCAAACGGCTGAAAAAATTTATTTAGAGAGGAACCAGTCGTTCCTCCAAAGCACCATAACAAACCTCTTAGCATACATGTTTTTTAACGTACTGCTTTTCAATTAAGAGAGAAAGTATTTTTTATGTACGAGGCATCTAGCATGCATTTGGTTTCGGTGCTGTGGTATGAGACGATTCTATCCCTGATTCTTTTTTTTATGAACTCGTCCTACAAAGTGATTGGTTAAGATTTAAGAAGGATGAAATCATCCCAGTTCTTTGTCTGATTAGAGAGATTGGGCAAAGTCGGATGAATGGTGCAGTTCACACCGTCAAGTACAGTTAGATATCGTTCCCATCTATCACATGTGGGACCCACTGTCAGCTATACACACATCTTCTTCCGCAATCCCTAATGAGCATGGATTAATTAGGGGGCAGTTGTCCGTTACGAACAAACTCACCAAAAAAAAAAATCAAATTTCATATGCCCTTTACATTATTCATTTTTGCAGAAAAAAAAGAGAGAATAAATTATGGGTCATGCACAAGTAATTGAACTCATGTTCAGCGTCAGCCGCCTGTACATGTCCATCCTACAGAGGAAACTAAACGGAAATGCCGTGGACAGGACATCGGTTCGTCGGACGCTTGCGTTGGTGGACCTCGATGCCCGCTCTAATGGCACAACACTATCATTCGCACGGTCATACCCATCTCGCGATTTGCTAAAAAACCAAAAATCTCCGCTCTCACTTTCCTCTCGACCACTACATCGCCACCGCGCCCGCACTGTCGCGGCGTGCTCCACCGTGGCGCTCTCCACCGCGTCCAGCTGGCTGCCATCCTTCGTCTCCACCGCGCCCGAGCGCCGGCGCCCGCCTTCCTCCCTCTTTACCGTGCTCACTGTCTGGCGCGCGGCTTCCGTTCTACATCACGCCTGTCCGATCGCTTCTGTCCCTTTCCGGCGACAACTCATGCCTGCGGTGACTAGTAGGCCTTCCCTCCTCTCTCTCCACCGCGCTCGGTCCGCTTCCTCCCTCGGCGATGGCATCCAGCAATACGGACGAGATCGGATTTAAAGAGCATGTTGCAGACGTATGTTTCAAGTGTTTCAGAGATACGTTGCAAGTGTGTTTACATCGATGTTGCAAAAGTAGATCGTGATGTTGCATATGTTTGCAATGGTTGTACACGTATGTTGTAAAGATCTGTTCCCAATGTTTTATCTGTTTTTAAGACGTTTGTTGCAAGTGTGTTTATCTAGATGTTGCGTATGTTTTACACATATGTTGCAAGTGTTTTATCTGGATATTGCGTATATTTGCCACGGTTTTCAATTGTTTTTGCAAGTGTTTCAGGCATACGTTTTAAATGTTTCATCTATCTTTAGATGTATATTGCAAGTGTTGTATCTGGATGTTTTAAAAGTAGATCGAGTGTTGCACATGTTGCAGTGTGACCCACCTGCTTCAGCTACTGGAGGAGGGCCGAGGGGTCAACCGAGGCCCAGATGTCGTGTGGGGTCGGGTGAGGACGTAGACGCCGCGTGGGTTGGGTGGGGGCGCAGACGTCCGCGTGGGGTCAGACGGTACACGGAGTGCAGGCGCGGGGTCAGGGTGCAGGCGCGCGTGTCCAGACGTCCGGACGCTAGCACTATCAAAACTAAAATCCGAAAAGCTCACTGTTGTATCAACAATCATGCCTCACCACTTCTTACTTTCTTCGGGAAATACTTGGATTTTCAGTTTCGAAAGCAATAATCGGATTAGTTCAGTTGAATGTCTCCCTCCAACAGTAGGAGGAGCTTATCTTGTAATCTTTCATCCCTAGCCTCTCCTTCCAAGCTCCCTAGCCTCTCCTTACAAGCTTGAATAGGTGCAAATTTGTAGGAGGGGCTTAGGTGAGGCTCCATGGTCTGAATAGCGGTAGAGGGGGCTCGAGCCCATCCCGCTCCGGTGTTAGATGTGCCCCTGCTCTCCAAACATTCCCTATAGTCGGAGGGGATCAACAACCGCAAACAGTTCAACTGTCCATTACTCCCTTAGGACGCGTATACCTGAAGTTTTTCATTTTCCATCTGAGAAGGCAGTCATATTGAATTGCCATAAAGGGTTTCTTTGGGTCATGTCCGGAGGAGGCAAAATTCGGTTTTGCTTTGGCTGGCCAACATTGGCCTTGGCTTGGTTGAAGCCAAAATATGGGTGATCAAAATTGGGGTGGTCGTTTTGGCCGCTCTAGTTCTGCTTTGCTATAGAGAAACCGGTCAAGGTTCGAGTCAAATTTCAAAGTTTGGCCAAATATTGGCTTAGCTAGCTTGAACCAAACATACCCATAAGGGTGCTCAACCAATGATAAAGAATACACTTTTGAGAATTTTCAGATACCTATATTTTTTTTTCAACAAAATCTTCAAATACCTATAGCCTTCCATAGATAGATAGATCAATATTCATTAGCCAGAGCGATGGCACATTACAGGCATTTGCGATACCTACCACGTCACCTGGACGGACAGGCGGCGATGTACATGAAAAATGTGCTTCGCAAGGGCCCGATGGAACATGGATGGGACCACCAGCATAGGATTGGTTTTCGGCTTCTCGTCACTAACTCGATCGCTGTTAGTGCTGTCCTTGTTCAATTGACATCGATCTTAGCTGAACACTTCTCAGCAAAGATTTTCTTTTAAACAAAAGAGAAGACTCGTTTGAGGTACCACCACCTAGATTATCAGGACTACAGATCAACTACTGCATGTGTAAACGGAACAGAAAAATACATGCTATTTTCACGCATATGCTTCAGAAAAGGTACTAAGTGATATGATATGATGAAATTCAAACAATTCAGTTTGGCAGGCAGAGAAAATCAACATAACAGTAACGCATGAGCTTCCTAAGTCCTAACCTAGCAGGCGCTCAACATGCTACTGGAGGGCCTCCACACTTTTGGACCCTGGATGATGGTCCACAGGGTTCGGTCAGTTTGGGTATTTTTCATTTGTAGCGAGAGCACGCGGGGATGGCATGAATTGCTGACAATGTGCTGATGAGTGTGTTCCAACGACAGGAAATCTTATGATGTTGGCCATGCTCTCACCATCTTTTCTCAAGTTTCTCTCTGTTTTTTTTCTTCTATTTATACACATGCTTGCCTAAACCAATAAACAAGATGAGTGCAGACACTGCAGAGACCATCATCATTTGGCTGGTTTCGCTGGCATAGCAGCTTTCTTTTCTCCAGGGAGGTAGTAGGTAGCATGAATGCAATTCAGGCTTACAATTTCAAAGACATTGAGGGTCAGGTAGGTTTGATGCAGTGACATATGTCCAAGTTCCAGGCCCTACAAAAGTCGATTGGCCACCTTACAGCTTGCCATATACATGATTTATTTAGCGATTAATTGCCGAGCCATATACATGATTTAGCAATTAATTGCCATGCTGGCTTGGTGCCTGGTGTCATGACAATTTAGTGAACTACAGGCTACAGCATGCTAGAGATACATACCCCTTTGGAAACATCTGTAGCACATAGCAAGACTCATTTCAACAGGTCAATTGGCTAAGTAAGGATATGGCTGAAAAAGCACATATAGATGACTTATTACCTAATAAAATGCAAAACAAGTTGATCAAGTACACAGTAGAACCTAACAAGCCCAGCTGCCACTCCCAAGCCAACTTTTCTCCAGAAAGCGAAATGCAGTGAGCAGGCAAAAATGACAAACACCACACAAAAGCTATATATGGCATTCTTCACCCACAGATTGTGGCGTAAAACTATATACCCCTGTATGTAGTAGAACAGGCGCTGCGTCCGTGAAGGACCTTTCTTCAAATCTGGACCAGTGTCAAAATCTTCTAGGAAAGCTTTGCACAACACTGCCTGTATCTGTATACTGTAGTGCAACACTAGCACAGTATCTTCACCAGTTTCAGATTATGCAAATTAAAACCTGATATGTTTGATTTGTATACTGGCCCCTTAACATTGGTCCCAATAAAATTGCCCACAAAACACTAGATCAAGTCGGATGCATTATACACAGACACAAAATACAGAACACGCCACACCTTGTGTTGTCCAAGACAAAGCATAGTGCCATAACATGGCTGTACATTGCACATAAAACATGGACACAAGAAGTAACATGGGATCCATACAACATAACCTCAAACCTTAGATTATCCTTCCTTTCAGTGGACTTTGGCAGTCGCATGCCTGGACGGCCTGTGCACCCTCACCTTTGGTCTCTTCTTGCGTGCCAGCTTCTGCTCGAGCGCTTTGACCTTCTCACCTAGGTCTGTGATGACCCCCATCTGATCATTGCCGGACGCGAGAAGCTTCTGCAGAAGCTCTTTCAGCTTCTGGTTTTCTTCTGCCAGCTTCTTCTCGTCATTGACCTTTGGATCATCAGGAGATGGGGTGGCAGAAGCCTTGTTCTCTGTCTGCACAGTGATGTCTTCTTTCAGGGAAGCTTCATCTTCAGCAGGATTTGCACCTGTTACATGTGCTGGAGCTTCCTTCAGCATCTCATTGCATTTGTCCATCTCAGACACCCGCACATCAGAATCTTCAGCAGAAATTTCTCCCTCCATGCCTACTGGAGCAGCTTTCCGAGTCTTAGTGCATTCATCTGTCTCGGAGACATCTGAATGGATGTTTTCTTTCTGAGCATCAGTTTGGTTCTCTGATGACACCTTCATCTCAGGTCCCTCGCATACTGTGATTCCACCATCGTGTGGACATGATAATTCACAACTGTCTGAATCAGGGAAGATTGTTTCACCTATTGTATCGTCTGCCTCTTCTCCATGGCTAGGGTGACTCTCCTGAATGTCAGGTTCCTTCATGGATGCCTCAAAAAGAGGATCCTCGCAATTTGCAGAACCTCCGGTTACCTTGTCAACACTAGTTTCAGTTTTCTCATCCACATGTGGTACCTCATCCTTGTCAGAAACACCACATTGCATTTCATCGTCAGACTCATCCAAGACAGTTAGTAATGGGGCAGAGACAGACTCCAATCTTGGTTCCAGCATGGTAGGTTGATCATGCTTTTCTACATCTGCAGAAGTATCCAGTTCTAAATCATCATTGGTCGAAGCCTCTGTGGTTCCATCTGGTACTTTGCCTGAATCTTCAATGGAATCCACAGCTTGTACCTGCAAGCTGATATCCCTGGCTTCTTGTTGACCTTCTGTTTCAGACACAACAAAGTTCTTTGCAGGAGTTAGACCATGCTGCTCTACGTCCTTCAAAGGTACCAGTGGATCCTCCAAATGAACAACAGGGCTGCTCGATTTGTTATGCTCATTTTCAGCAGAAGAAACATCATCTTTCAGTTCCACATTTTCTAGAGCTGCAGTTTCATGCACCTGACTGTCAACGGGGCCATCCTGTTTTCATATATACAGCATTAATTTGTTGTTCAAAAAATATGATCACTATAGAGCTTATCATCAAATAAATAAGATAACTTACTTTCTCAGTTGCCAGTTCACTTTCCACAGATGCAGTCAGAGCACTTATGTCAATGTCCTCAGTGGATGCAGGAGAAAACCCTGTATTTGATTCAGCATCGAGATTCTGATCGGTTGAAGCTGTGTATTGTTTCAGTCCACTAGAATCCCCTGACGAAGCTGTATCATACAATGGCGCCGTGGAATTCACTAATGACGACTCTTTTACTTCATCCTCAGCTGCTGGTTTCTCCTGTTGACACAACAGCAATTCTATCAGTACCCATTTGCAAGGTAAGGTATCTTCTTAAACTATGATCAGTAGTATGAAAGCAAACGACTTACTTCTTCAGTCACTTGTTCCACTGAATTAACATTTGATTCTCCAATTCCGTGCTCCTGGTTGTCAGTGGGATGTTCTGTAAAAGCTTCATCACTTATCATATCCATCGATGATGCTACCTGAAATTCAATATGTCCCTCAGCTTTCCCCTGTTGAATATGAATAGTTAAATCCTACTTGTAAATTAAAGTCAATTTTCATGAATAAATCAGATGCAAACAACTAAGACAATGATGATTACTTTCCTTTTTCTTCTGGGTTAGTACTACTCTGAAGGTAGCATTACTTCTTTAAGCATAGTAGATTACGCCTATAACACTTCATAACTAATGCAATTTTCTTTTATCCAACACGCAGTCTGCGTACCATTACAATAGGACAAAATAATATAAGGATGCAACATACACGCACACAAACCCAAGGGAAAAAAAGTTATGTTAGCACTAGTTATAGATTAGAACCACCCTACCACAAGCTGGCCCTACATCATACAGCAAGCAGCTGAATCCCCCTGGCACCAGCCAATCCCCACAGCCGTGCCTCTTCTCTAGCAAGCATTAAAGCCCGCTGAACGCCTAATGCAAATTGCTTATAATGGTAAAATGCAAATCCCATCCTTAACAAAACAACCCAAAACCTTACCAAGGTTGCAACAGTAGAGTGCCAACAATAGAAATCAAAATCGACTTACTTCTTCATGTGCTTCGTCCACTGTGGTGCTACATGACTCTTGTTTTTCATTCTTCTCCTCACTGGAGTCTGCATCTGGCCTCACCTCCCAGGAAACTCCAGATGGAACTGCGTTGCATGGCTCCATGGTCACTGAAGATGGTTCTTCTATCTTACCCATTTCAACCGCTCTTTCCTGCTGAGATTTCTTTTAGGTAGAATTAGTACATCAAGCAATTTGTGGCATCATCATGCATAAATAAGGCTTACTGAACAATTGCAAAATAAGGCTAACGAACATTATTAATACAAGCAACACTTACTCTATCAGAAGCTTCAGTTGTTACAGTAGGAGCTGCAGTTTGGATAATGCTCTCGGTCCTCTCAGATTCATCATCATTACTATTTGTGTGATCCAACTCCCCAGATGGTGCTCTGCATAGAGTATCAAGCCTCTCCTGCAAGCAAATCAGTTCTCGAGCAACAGACTTCCTAGCTTCCCTTACACTTGGATGCAAGCTCTGTGTCAATACTACCAAGGTCTTAGAACCAACCCAACTAGTACCAAAAAAGTTCACCAAAAAAGAAATGAGTATACGCTGTTCATAGAAAAAACAGGCTGGAATGAAAAACATACCTGGATTGTGTCAAGCTTCAGGAGTAAATTCATAATAGTTTCACCAATGGCCACTTGCTCTTTTTGTGTTGGCTTATTGCAAGAATCTTCAAGGCATTGAAGCTGCTTCTTCACACCTTGCATCTGTTCATGCACATGCCTGATCTTCCGGAGCTTATCCAAAGGTTGCCATCTTCGAACATCATACCCTCTATATGCAGACTGAATACGGACTGCCGCATCTGGTTCTGACAAATTAACTCTATATGTGCTAGCATCATCTTTTGCAGCTTCACTTTCAATCACCGTCCCATCTTCATTTTTGCTTTTGTCACATCCATTCAAGCTCCCTGCACCAGCATTTTCTTGCACATCACCTCCCTGTATGCTCTTCGCCCCTGTATTTTCTTGAGCGCCAACTATAGTGCTACCAGCTTGTACCTTCTGGTCATCTTTACTCGTGAGAACTTCTTCCTTCTGTGAATGTTCAACAGCAGCAGCTTGCTCTGTTTCATTGCTAAACCCAATTTCCTTCTTCATTTCATAAGGCGACTTTTCTTTCACCTCGGACACAGTGATATGATTACTTGTACCAGACTGTTTAGGCTCCAGGTTCTGGCTCCGGGCGTCCTTCATGTCCTTCGCGTTGCCAGCATCCTTCCTTGTTGGTGGGCTAGGAGACCTAGAAGAACCATTTCCAGATTTCTTTCTTGGCAAGGGATCCACACGTAAGCATACTGGGGGCAATTTTGAATGCTTAGCTATTGATGAGTCACTGTGTTTTGTTTTCCTGTTTTCTTCTACCTTTTCAGCACTGTTTGCCTCCTTTGTCTCTTTCTTTTCCCTCATGCCAATCTTCTTCTCATCATTTTCTTTCATGACTGGAATGGTCCTGTAAGTACTGGCCTTCTTTTCATTAATCTCTTTCTCTGGCACAACTGGAGTGGTCTTGCAGTTTTCCCTTAGAGGTTTCTTCTCATCGTTTGCACTCTTGGGCACAGCTGGAGTGGTTTTCGGGTTTCCTTCCAGTGTCATGCTGTCTAGATGATCAGTAACCACAGGTTGGTTCTTCACTGCTGATCTGTTGTTGTGGTCTCCAGAGCCATTTCTGGCAGCCGGTTTCTGATCATGTTGATGACCATTCTCAAACCAAGACAGGGGAATGATCTTGATCTTGGGTGATTGAGGAGCCTCTTCAGAAATCTTTGGGGATTTTGGGGTCTCTTCCGTGTCATTCATCTCTTTAGCCTTTTGCTTCGGCGCATCATATCCTGCTGGCATCCAAACTACTGGCCACTGGAACTGTTTCCCCTTCAGATTATCTTGCTCTTGTTGCTTCACATCCCCTAATCTCTTGCTATTCTCAGGAGCCCATTCATTTAAAATCTGAGGTGACAATTCATAATGCTCTCCATTCTCCTTGCCTTTAATATTGCCTGATGGCAGCCATATGAACGGATACTTGCTGTTTGGGTGTTGAATTATACTGCCGCTATCAGCATTCTTGTGCTCACTCTCAAGCTTGACATCAGGCCTTTCTTCCTCAATTTTCACAGTGCTCTTCTCAGCCCCAGAGCACACATGATTTCATCCACAACAATGGCTCTTGAACTTGTCATAACCATATGGTGTATGATCAACAGGGTAGGGATGTGATGGGACAAAGTAAGAAGGACATGCATTCGGGTGCTGTGGAAATGGCCCATGATAGTATAAATGAGGCGGTGGAAGTTCTTGAGGGAATGGGGGTCTGAAACTGTAGTAATCAGGAGGATATGTTCGGTTGCAGCAGCAATGGAACTCAGAAGGATGCGAATGATGCATATCATGATTGTACGGCCAAGTTCCACAGCTTGGTGGCCAATAATAACAAGATGAATCCATTGCCCGTGGGTGACCGGATGGGATTTCCCATCTAGTAGGAGGATAGTATGGGTAAGGAGCATGATTTCTGTAGTGCGATTGGTATGGATCCATGTAGTGGTTTGCTGGATACATATTAGTTATTACTGGTCTATATGTACTGGTAGGATAAATGCCTAGACCTGTGAACAGGTATAATGGCTGTGATACCTGCAACAGTGGAGAAGAGACCTGTGAACAGCTTGCATATAGTTTGTGGAGCTATGAATACAACCAAACAACTGATCAACAGTGAAACATCACGCTAACTCGGAAATCAAAAGGAACTGAAATAACTAATTTTTTGCCAGCATATGTAGATAGTCAACATCCACCAATGATGTTGAACCCGTGGAAGAACATGGAACATTTCTAGATCAATAAACCAATACATTCACACTCAGTTTGAACACTGAAGTGGTATTATTACAAGCAAGTACCAAGAAATTGAGTTCCTTATTGTATACCCATAGCAACAGTTTATGGAAGGAGGCACAAAAGGGGAAGGCACCTTGTGAATAATACTAATCTCTGTAGATCGCTCTGTTTCCCAAATTTTCTATGCATAAGCATATTATTGTTTTTCCCTAGACATGACTGACATGATTGGCAACGTATCAGGTGCAAACCAACTAACCTGTGCAAACTTGGAAACTACCAATCAAGACCACTGGATATTTTTTGCGCTTAAGCCCCCCACCCGCCATCCTTTTTTTTTTGCGCTTAAGCCCCCTCACCCCATTCATTGGATCAGCATTCAGTGGTCCTAATTAGTAGTTTCCAAGTTTGCACAGGTTGGTTGGTTTGCACATGATATGTTGCCGACATGATTCCTAATCAATTGGTCACAGGTGCACCCAAAATCCACAATTGTTCACAAAGCATCTGGGTTATTCCTCTGAAAAAGTATCTTGATTTTAGAAGGCACGACGCCTAAGGTGCTGTTCCTCCTACTTAGTAATGGAGGGCCAAATACACACAACCAAAAAATAGGATAGTTTAATTAGGCAGTGAGTGAAAAAGAATAAATCAGCACATTTCAACTTAGTACATGAATCGATCACTTCCAAATTCCAATACACCTCAAAGCATTGACCATCGTAGTCTACTGAAAATTTCCCGTAAATCATTTTTAGCTATTATTCTTCTTGATTAAAAAGGGAAGGTTTGTGAGTAAAGCACGGGCTTAAGTAGCAGAACTTTTCGAGACTGCACGTAAGCATGAACCGCGGACACCACATTCTGATAGTTTCCAAGAAACGCCGGGAGCAGCACCCGGAGCAACCCAGTACTGAATCGGACGCACCAAAACCACCCTAATCCAGAAATTTCCAGATAGGGGGGCGCGGGGAAATGGGAGGCGAGGCGAGGAGGGGGCACACTTACAGTGCGGCGGGCGGAGAAAAGGCAGCAGAGCGTGGATCAGACAGACGAGCCACCACCAAAGCTTGAAAAATCCACAGGGCCGAGTGACGTCAGCTACCGGCGAGCGATGCGGTCCGCAGGTCCCAAGGCCGTCGTCGTCCTCTCTCTCTCTCTCTTCCCTTTCCTTCTCGCGAGCGCTTCTGTTTCCTTGCGTGTTCTTCCTTTCTGAATGCCGCGGCAGGGGGCCAGACGCGCGGTATTTATGCGGAGAACGGGGGCGGGGGCCTCCGAGGAGAGGTGGAAGAAGAGGCCGTTGTGGGGTTCGTTCGAGAGGGTTCGCGACGTGGCCGAGGTCCGGGGTGGCTGACTCGGTTCGCTCCGACGCGCGGTCGCATTCCTTCGCGACGGTTCCACCACTTCCACGAGAGTCTCCCTCCCTCCCTCTTCACTGTTCCCGCGCTAGATGTGTCTACGAGCACGTTCGGTTACCTAGTTCGTATCGTTCTTTGGTTCGAAAAAAAAATCTTCTTTGATTAATTTGTGAGAGAAAAAATACTATTCGATTGAAAATTTACGATCGTTACTGATGCTCACGCGTACAAACAAACATGCTGTCCTAATCCATGGACTAGACTCTACTATTGCACCTCACCGTACCTTATTGCTCCCCCGTTGTCTAGACCAGGAAATATATCTGTACATTATAATGAGACTACAATATATTATGTTACCAGTAGTGTGAGCGTTGTTGCATAGGCCTTTTCTTTTCTTGAGAAGACTTTGTTACGCAAGTGAATGACATCTAGATGGTTACCTTTTTCTTCACATGTCCTTATGATGTGGGGTTTGCAATGGATGAACTAATTCTAAATGAGAACCGTGTCATGTAGTCGTGTCTACTATTTTGTAACTTTTCTTAGAGCAAGTTTACTTCACAATCCGTCTTAGAACAAGGAAATGTGTCTTCTGCGGCTCATATTGACTCCTTTTAATTATAATTTTGAAGATTGGAGATGCACTAAACATATATTCTTTTAATTTTGAGATTCTCTTTTATCTCAATAATTTATTGGTGCAATCTCCGCTTGCGACCTATTCCTCGACCTCTCGATGCCTGCTTCAACAACGAGGACCCCTCCAGCCGGTTCTGATGCCTCCAACGGCGCCAAGGGCCCCGCATGGCACGGACGGAAAACAACTCAGGCCCCTTTGGTTAGGCACACGAATTTTGTAGGATTAGCTTTCCTAAGGAATGTTTTTTTCCTAACCTTTGGCTCATGTGAAAAGAAAAAAAAATATTCCATAGGATTAGAATCCTATCACTCCATTCCATAGGAAACAAAACATGAGGCCAGAATTGCCCAAACTTATTTCGGGTAGTTTGGGTATCGGGAGATACTACCCGAATTACCCAAACTTATTTCGGGTAATCAGAATTGCTATCCGGATTTAGGATCGGGTATCTCAGGTTCGGGTATTTTGGGTCCGGGTTCGGGTATTGGTAATGGGTATCGGGTATTTTGCCTAGGCTTACCTGTTTGGTTGGTGACCAAAACTTACCACGCCTAACCTTCGGTAAGCAGTGGCTGCCAAAGAAAGTGTGGCGACCAAAATCGAAGCCACACTTGTGGTAAGGTTTGGCACGAAAATGAGTCTATGACATGTGGGGTATGATGCTAAGAAAGTTTGGCGTGCCATAGGTATGGCAGTGAACCAAACAACTGTCGAAGAAACTGTGGCACGACGAACCTTTGGCGTGGCAGGTTTTAGTCACCAACCTAAGTCTAAGATAAGTTATGGTTGATGGGATTCTAAAAATCCAGTTTCTAAATAAAAAATAATCTCTAGTATTTCTTGGATTCTGTATTGCGTGTTGGAATTCTTAAAAATTCTATAGTGTTTCGATAGGATTCTAGGATCTTGAGAGTTTTCTATCTAGATTCTTAAAATCCCTATGATCCAAACACTACCATAGTGTGGTAGCCTTGTAGGCCATCCCTAATCCAAAATTTCTCCACCATTTAATCCCTAAGAACAGGGCATACAACACGGCAAGCAGTGCTCTCTCTCTCTCTCTCTCTCTCTCTCTCTCTCTCTTTGAGCTCTAATGCCTCCCCCACAATGTCCTATTCTTCTCTAGCACCTCCTACACAATAGAAATTACAATGAAAAAATAGAAAAATAGAATTGAGTTGTGGTGTACATTGGGTGATTGATTTTCCCCATCTTTTTGCTGATGCCCTAAGTTTGGAGAAACTCTAGTGAGATTAGTAATCTTTTAATCTTGGTAATTGACGTGCTAGATGGTTCTTGGTCTTAGGGTTTGCCGTTTAGAGAAGGTAGCGTCGGGGTTATAACCCCGAGGTATCTCAGGGCATCGATTAATTAGTAGGCCGAGCGGCTCACGATACACTAGCCGGCAAGGTCCCGAACGATCGAAGCCCAGCTGATCAAAGAAGACTAGGTCGAGCGCTAAGGCGGAGGTTGGCCACGACCCCTTCATCAGACTTAGCCGCACAACGCATAAGAAGACGCATGGCCTCTCGACCATCCCGACCCCTAAGAGGAACAGGGAGAGGTCGAGCTTCACCCAACACGCTCGTTCTGACCAGGGTAGGCATGCCACTCTGACCCCGCAAGGACCGAGGGGACAACAGTCATCTCGGTTCGGTCAGACACCATCCCTATGCTACACTGCATAGACAAGACAGCACCGCCCGACGGTGATGACCAGTACGGAGCCCACCGTCCAAACATGGACCGACAAAGACATAGGTACGATCCCACCCACTACGGGATGTGATCCACGACGAGAGCCTTGACTTAGAGGCCATCCAGGCTGGTGGGAACCACGACCCCCGATGATTAGGATTGTGGCTCCCAGCTCGTTAAGCCAACAAGGCGAACGACGACATGGGGCGGATACCTACTCTCGTACGACGCCCTAGGAAACCAGGAGACTATGACAAAGACCACGACAGAGACCACGTCGCACAGGACAGTTGGCGAACCACCACTGTGCCTACAATGCTGTCATGGCCGGCACTGTAGCACCACGCCACACCATACCACGATGTGGCCACAAGACCATGATGACAACCACGTCCGAACATGTACCTCAAGATGACGTAGCTTGCAAGCCAAGTTAGCTAGGTCCTCCCTTAGGCTCACGACCTTTCGGTCGGGAGAACTACTACTTTGTATATGCCCTGGCCTCGAACTCTATATAAGGACGGCCAGGGCACCCTCTCCAGGGACATGATTCACATCCTCTACCATTTTTCACTCATTTTCCATCGTAGCAGGGCTCCTGGAACTTCTCTTCAGGCAGTCCATCTCCTAGCTCTAGCTCTTCTTCATCTTCCACTATTCTTGCACCCCCATTGTAAGAACTCCAGAGCATTCAAGCAAGGAACACGTACTCGATCATCTCTGAGATTGGACGTAGGGTTCTGGCCTAAACCAGTATAAATCCTCATATCTTTTGGATGCTACCATCGTCTTCCTAGAGTAGCGCAGCAATCGTATAAATTTACTAGTTCGGTTTACAAAACACCGACAGGTAGAATCACAGTTAAAGTGTTAATGTAGGTTATGTTGTTTGCTAGCCTAACCGGCGTGTATGTTTATGATTTTGATCTTTTTCCTCCAAAGATGGATAATAAGAATGCTATAGGTA